GTGGTATATGCTGGTCATCCATCAGTAACGGTCGCTGCAAAGAGCTTTTGTCGCAAGGTGTTACGCGGGAGGATTGTTGCGCCTCGAACGCAGCGGCAGCGACCGCCTATTCCGAGGAGGACCTGGACAGCGGAAGTCTTTTCTTTTGGAAGGTTCTCGGTGGAGGTGTGCAGTGCCGTCCTTGTCGAGGTAAGCGGATTAAACCGCGCGATCGACATTTCCGACATTTTCCTCTCTATGGGTATCTCTCTCTCTATGGGTGTGTCTCTCGGCACACGTATACACACATACACAGCGCGTAGCAAAGCCATGCGAAATCGCTTCTCCTGTTCGGCAGAGAGCTGCGCGGAAGTGAGGTGCGAGGAGGGAAAGAAGTGCGTGGTGCGTAGAGGAAGACCGAGGTGCGTGTGCAGTCCGGAGTGCAAAGCACCGCGAGGTGGTGGACCGGTCTGCGGGACGGACGGCAAGAGTTACAAGAGCCTGTGCAGACTCAAAAAGCGAGCTTGCAAGAAGGGCAGCCACGAGCTCGCGGTTGCCTACAACGGCCACTGCCAAAGTGAGTATGTATGAATAATATTATTCGCCAGATATACCGCGCGTGTATTCGCGGTTGTACATATTCGTTGTACTCGCGCTGTTGGCGCTGGAGCTGCCGAAACAGAGAGAGCTTCCGACCCGATCTGCAATTCCTTGCGTATCAATCGTACAGCAACAAGCAAGCCCCTTATCCCCTCTGAAAGAGGGGGGATCTTTAATCTACGGGAAGAGACGACGTACGCGCTTGTGTGTCCGCCATTAGGTTGACACTCTTTGTTTATCGCTCGCTCGAAAGACCGGTAACTACGCCAACTAGGACGCGAACGATCGGATAAAGAAACGCAACGACCTGAAAGAAACATCCGGTGGGATTGGCCGGGCCAATACGGACCACTCGCGGACCGGTGCGCGGTAATTGTGCCGGTAATCGATCCGGTAACGCGCGGCTTAATGACCGCGCGCGCGTATGAGGGGAAAAAATATTTTGATCCTGTGCAACGTCGATATACGTCAATGAACCGTGACGAAATGCGCGTTAGTTCCCACGATGCCGACGCGAGTCTGTGGTCGACGCAAAAATTACGCCACGCCGGATAACGTTGGACAAGTTTCGCGTGCATCTCTCTCTCTCTCTCTCTCTTTCTCCTCCCCCTCTCTCTCTCCCTCTCTCTCTCTCTCTCTCTCTCTCTCTCTCTTTCTCTCCCCCCTCTCTCTCTCCCTCTCTCTCTCTCTCTCTCTCTCTCTCTCTCTCTCTCTCTCTCTCTCTCTCTCCGTCTCCGTCTCTCTCGGCCGTGTGTCCAAGAGTGAGTCTCTGTCTTAACGGAATCTACGCTCGGATCGGATCCGCTGCGCGGACGTCTGCGAGTCGAATGCAATCTAATCGTTACATCATTATCTCCGTAGACGCGCAGTTTCGTAACATCGACGCGCGCGCATTCGGGGAGGAGCGCGGAGTGGCACACTTTTTCAGGATTTCGATATCAAAACGTTTCTTTTCAACATGAGATGACAGAGACAAGCAGAGCACGACCCTTGTCGTGCCGACTCGTCCCGGTCCTCCCCCGGCTAGCCACGCAGAGGTGACGCGAAGACGTGACGGTACTCTAAATCCGGCGCTAGTCTAGGTCCTTCGCGATTACTCGAGAACTCGAGAGAACCGCTCTGAGCGTAGCTCAGCGTCGGACGCTTAGACGAGCGATTAGACGGGAGCAGTCTCAGCCGGTATCTCACATACGCACACATATCCACACATACACACACACACACACACATACACACGGTCGGCACGTCGTGGTAAGCGGCCAGAGAGCAAAAATAAAAAGAGGAAAGGCAACGACGCGCGTCTATCTCGGGGGCGGTTTACGACTGTGCGTAATAACGTGCAAAGTGTCGAGCAGGTTCGTGCGCACGGGTCCGGTGCGGCCAAGGTCGGAGCTGTCTACTGGACCAGAACCTGAGCCCTCACTGCGTGAGGTGCGCCCGCAGGTGCCCCCAGGCGCCCCCGCACCAGGTCGCCGGCTCGCGCCCCGTCTGCGGGGCCGACGGAAACACCTACAAGAGTGCCTGCCACCTGCGACTCGCCGCCTGCCGCGCTGGCCGCGCCATTCCCGTCGCTTATAAGGGCCACTGCAAACGTGAGTCTCTCTCTCTCTCTCTCTCTCTCTTTCTCTCTCTCTCTCTCTCTCTCTCTCTCTCTCTCTCTCTCTCTCTCTCTCTCTGTATCTTTTTCTTTAGGCTTTTCACTAGTCAGAGTGTCTTCGGCGCTATCTCCGGCCGGAATCGTGCCGGAAATGCCGGAGGACCGTCGAGACCGACGAGATTCGGCGGGACGAAGCATCGATAATAGGGAATCGAAACTTTTCAAAGCATTTTCGCGAATCTTGGCGTTCACAGTCGGAGAAGCTAGCTTGCCGAGGGTGAGACGCCCGGATTTAGAACGAAGCTTCGTTATCCGAATACTACTCGCGTGTGTCGATTTTTGTATCCCTGTCTGTAAAATTGTTGTTCGAAAAGATGCAAGCAAAGGAGAGGAAAGTTGCGATATAAACGCGTATATAAAGATTTATATACGCAATTCGGCAAGGAAGGTAGCGCCGGGCATATGTGAAAATCGTCTCGAGGAGGGTGACTCGATCGAATAAAAACAATCGGTGAATAAAAAACAAGAGGAGAAAGGTTAGCTTCATTGGCGAACGAGCGGGTAGTCAACCGACCGCTGCTTTGCATTGGAATGGGCCTTATTGTTGTCTGTTTTGCACGGTCCCGAAACCTCGCGACAGATACCATAAAATAGCCAAGAGACGGTGTCCTTAAACGGGAAGTCTCCATGGGAATAATAAAATTCACGGGTAGATTTTGAGCCCGGCTGATTCGGGTAGAATTCGCCTTTTTTCCTTCCTTTCACTTTGCCTTTCCGTCTCTCTTTCTCCTCATTCCACCCACTCTACACACCTTTTACTTCTGCCCTTCCGCAAGGAAAGGAAATGGAGAATAGGATTCGTGTGTCTAAGATGTCTAAGATCCGTACGAAGAAAAAGAAAGGGAACAAGGAGAGAGATAAAGGAGAGAAACAGAAAGAGCCCCGCTTGCAGGAAGAAAAAAAGGATACGGTACCTGTGGCTCGCCTTCACAGTCGCCTTTGCCTTCAGCCAGTCGCGCGGCACGAAGGCGTAAACAGACGTGAACGGATAGCACAATGGAAAGAAACTAAAAATAATAGCGATCCCGAGAATCTGGAGAAGGAAGTCATTACACGAGTTGGATGAGACCCGATACACGTACATCTCTGCAGGGGCTGATAGAATGTGTATCTAGTGGCTCGACTCGGCGCAATTGTCCAATTGTGTCGCCACGGTCGAAAAATATACTTGTTTTTTTTATTATATTTCAGCTGTTACACACACACACACACACACACGTTCTGCAACTTGCACTCATTTATCCGCCGCGAACGCTTCTAATTTTCACGTGTACATACCACACGACACTTGAACTTGAAGACTATTCCCAAATTAGCGATTGCTCCGGCAGAATCCATAATTGCGGTAAGAAACGGATAACTACGAGGTATGACTTTGAAGTCGGTGCTTCTCACGAGTGTCTTATACTGTAAGGAGAAGAGAAAAGGAAGGGGCGTAAAAGTAAAAAACATCAGAAGGCAATCGCAAGATCGTTCCAGGAAGTTCATCGACCGAGACGCGATCTGCTGGGTTGCGAAAGAGAACAAAAAGTTATATAAAAAAAAAAAAAAGAAAGAAAGAAAGACAGAGAGAAGAAGGTAAAAAGATGGAGCGAGAGACAAAGAGGAGCATCGTTTTCTGTCCATTCCTCTCGAGAAGCTGCTATAAACCCTCAACTTCGAACACGATACCATCGCCGATTACCAGTCAGATTGACAGATTTTTTTCCAAGATCCCATCCGGGGATCCTTCGGGGAGTATCACGCGATCCTCGCAGCCACCTGGCATCCTGATTATTTCAGGCACCTTTCAGTTAACTCGAGGAAAAATTCACCAATTTTTCCTACAAAGTTAACCCACACGTCCCGCCGCGGGATTTTACGCGAACGTAAAAAATAGCACGCGTGTAAGCGCCGAAGAAGGACAGGAAAGGCTGTAAGAGGCAACCATCTCTCTCGTTAATCGCTCTCTATAAATTTCTAACGGCGTTACCCGGCATACCGACTATGGTGGCTGTCGTGAGCGACGCAGCGTGTCGCGCTGCTCTCTCTCTCTCTCTCTCTCTCTCTCTCTCGCTCGCTCGCTCGCTCGCAAGAGATTCTCTTCGAAACGTATCATCATCGTGTTCGAAGAGGACGACACACAGGACACGAGACAAATAACGTGTAAAGCCGAGAACGGACTCATTTTCCGTCTTGGTGCGCGCGATACGCGTCAAGAGCGACAAAAAATGGCGACAAGAAAAGGAAAGACGGAAAGAAAGACATCGATAATACCGTGCGTATGATGCGTACGCATTTCGCGGTCGTCTCAGCACACACACACACACACACACACACACACACACACGGGTCATGTCGCTCATTTGCAGCGACGCGACGGCGGCGCGTGGAATGCCGACGACGACACGGCGTAAGTCCGCCGTCGTACGTTTGCGCGTTCGGGGCGTGGGCGCATTACGCTTTGGGATCGTCGTCATTGTATTTAAATGGCGAAGTTGCAGGAGGCAGTTTTTAACCTGTCCGCTCTGGCCCAGTCGGAGAGACAGAGAGATAGAGAGAGAGAGAGAGAGAGAGAGAGAGAGAGAGAGAGAGAGAGAGAGAGAGAGAGAGAGAGAGAGAGAGGGCGAGAGAGGGGAGGGAGAGCCGTTCTTCTTTCGGTAGGTGGGCAAGTTTCGCGCGTATGCGTGGGTTATTTTAAGCAATGTGACCATACGTATTTTGCGAGGTGGTTGCACTTGGACCAGACACTCTCGTGGATATGTCGTCGTCTTCGTCGTCGGCGACGATCGGACATGCGTGTGTGTGTGTATACTATAAAGTGATCCACGATTAGGATCGCCGAAATCGACTGAAATTTCCCGACTCGCATTCGCGAGGGAAAGAGACATCGCCGTGTATTCACTCTGACGACGTTTCCATTTCGTCAGCGACAGCCCGCGGATTATTTCGCTTCTATTCGTATTTGCTCGGCGTTTCTTTCCCTCTCTCTCTCTCTCTCTCTCTCTCTCTCTCTCTCTCTGTCTCCGAGATTATTTTCGATCGAACGGTGGTACGCGGGAGAATAAACGATGTGGGTCAAGGGTGTTTCGGCGTAGAAAAAGATAGTACCATGAGACTGGTAGCCGGCAGTTTACAATCTGCGCGTGGAGCTGTGATGCGCTTTCGGACGTGTGTAAGGATGTGTCCTTGTGGCGTCCTTGCCCTCCGGTCATTCACCGTATGCACGTACGCACGCACGCAAGCGCACGCATGCACGCACACGCAAGCTCGCATGCACGCTTGCACGCTTGCGACACAAGCTTATGCGCACGCACGCACGCACGCACGCACGCATTCTCACACGCTCACACACACACACGCACTCGCGCATGTAACGCAGCGCGCCCACGCAATCCACGCACGTCGGAACTCGAGACACGCGGTCCTTTATGTTTACGACACTCACCCCCACTTGATGGGCGATTCGACTAAAAATAACTCGCGGAGTAAAAGAATTCGGCGTGCATCGATTCGGTGCGCATTCGCGCAACGGAGAACGAAAGTCCAATCGAATTGATCACGACGACGACGACGATGATGACGATGACGACGACGACGACAATGTCAGACGTGGAGTACGACCGTGAAACCGGACCGGTTTGATACTGTGCGAAACCGCGAAAGGCAAAGATTTGGTAATGAAGAAAGGATGCTGCTATATAAAGCACGCGTGTGTAACGCTCACTGTGTGCGCTAACGCGTCCGCGTTACGTGAAAGTAGTGCTATATAGGGCACACTCTGAGGGGTCGCGCGTGTTCGCCGAAGCGCAAACTTGAAGAGCGACGAGACAGATAATCGTTTTTCGTCGTCAGAGTATCGGTAGTTGCAAAGTTACGTAACATTGAAAACTCGAGTGGGGCTGGGAAAGGGAGAAGTTTTATTGCTAGAAACTATATATTAAGACTTAAAATATTGCTATCATCATCTACTCAAGTAGATGGATTAGCTTGTAGAAGATGTGGGTATAATTGGACTGATATCACTGTAAATAAATATATATACACAGACAAATGAATATGAAAAATATTTTGCTTATAGAGAAGAACGGCGAAAGAATGGCGAACATTACCAAATCTTCAAGCCAAGTGTGCTCTTTTTATAGCACACTTGACACTTTTTGTTGCTAGGTAGTATTTATGAATATTTTAAACGTATTTTATGTAAAAATATGGATCTAAAGAGTATAAGTTGAAGCGTATATGCCATTATATACTGTATGTACTAAAAATATATATGTGTGTGTGTGTGTGTGTGTGTGTGGGTGTGGTTCACGGGTCTTGCGTGAAAATATTATTCATTGTATACTGCGAGCTGATTGGGGGGCACAAAACGGTTTCTCCAAATCAGATTTATTGTTCCCGAGTAACTTCGCCTCGCGTTTTACTATCGATCTCTCAGAGGACCACTTCCGTGATTCAGTGTCGGCCAAATCAGAGGCAAGTCTATAACGGGAACACAAACGCGGCTGCTCGAGAGCCTCGTTTCAAAATTCCTCGCGGCGAAATCGTCCCGCGATCTCTCCTCCCCCTTCATCTCCAACGAGACTCACCTCCGCTTCGAGGGAACAGGTGGGTCGCACGACGCTAAGGTCGCCGGGGTCAGGCGTTTATCGGTCTGAGAACGGGGTGAAGGGGAGTTCGTTGGATGCAAACAAGGTTGAGCACCTTACGACGAGAAGGTCTTGTGGCACGACTGCACCAAGTATGCCTACGTATGTATCGTCTTTCTGGACTCCCGGGAATGAGAAAGAACGAGAGAGAAAGAGGAGGAAGAGGAGGAGGAGAAGAACGTCGACGACCGAAGAACCAGAAGAGAATCATGCATATACGCCGCTCGAGCGACGGAGGAGAAACGAAGACAAGAAGCGGCAGATGCGAATCGAAGAAAAGAGAGGAGAAAGAAGAAGAAGAAGA